GAAATTATCTAATTACCTATTTTAACTGACAACAAGAACTCTGCACTGCACCTTTAAGGCTTGTGTTTTAATACATGTGTCTTATCTTTGAGCTCCTGTCCTGGGATGTTCCAGTTTCAAGGAGGAGGCTTTGAATAAGCAGAAATGTCAGATACAGACTGACGGAGAAATATTTAAATGTGCAGCACAACCTCCTCCACTCAGACAAATCATCCTAAAAAAACACAGTGACATTCCTGGTGAGCAACACAATCGTGTCGTTCAGTGGAACAGGGGATTTTACAATCCCTTTCATTATGCAGAGTATGTCCACAAACCTTAAAGTAACACAAGAGAATGGTAACTTATATCTCTCCACAGGTTACTTCTGTGAGGACTCAAAAACAAGATGTATGTCCAAAGTCACAATTATTATGCTAACTCCTGTACACTGTCTAACCAACAAAAGTACTATTACTATTTAGTTCATTGTAAGTAAGACAATGTGCAGGCGTTTTTTTGTTATTCTCGATGCACAAACGCTTCATGCAGGCGCTTCCGAGTGCACAGCCAGCGCTTTTCTGCCTGGAAAAATGTTAGGTGGACAAGGTGCCTTATGAAATACCTGATTTTATTTCAACTCTGAGAAGGCCAATAAGCCAACCATAGTTTAGAATTTAGGGGGTTTCACCCATGCCTACACTGGCCCCTCCCTTTGGATATACGTTTGTCTTGATTTAAAGCCAAGAGCTCACTCATGCAGGGTTGTTTATTAACACTGATGACTCGAGCACAATACTACACACAGGTTTCTCTGTATATACACACATGTACAGATGCAAGCCCTGAAGACAGTCCTGTGTGAATGAGGCTCATATCACAGCTCTGTGAACAGTCTCTCTTCACTGCTGACTGTGCAGTCAGTCAGCTGGAAACAGAGAATCAATTAACAATGTCAGCCCCCCCCCCCCGCTCTCTTGTCTTACTTAACCATCCGCCTTTGTCTCCTTTGCTCTGTTCTTTTTCCTCCCTCCATTAATAATAAAAGATAACTCTCTGTCGAGACGACATATCAAACTGAAAACAGCTGACTCATGCTTCTGCACCATAATGCCATTCACCGGACTCGACGTAAGGAAGAAACTGTTGGTCTGAACTCAAACACAACAGCAGCAGAGGATCTTCAACGTGCTGCACAGATACCCATGATGTCTGTAACTCTGTGGAGAGAAGATGCTGAATCTCCTCAGCTCAAACTCAGTGACATTTATCTCCCCTCACATCGTCTGCACTTCTTGTTCTGATGACTCACAAATGTGAAAAAAGTCAAATGTGTGTGTATAAAGCCCTCTCCCTCTCTGATCTGTACCGCTGTACTGTCTTGCTGCTCCCCATCAGGGCCTTTGCACCAGGGTTGGCAAAACAAAGTCAGCAAACACACCCGCACATCACTTATTCAGGTGCTGAGTTGTAAAAGAAAAACACTAGATATGACGCCTGACCGGGCTCGATATGTCGTCTTTTTAAATGCAAATATGGCAGATAAATAAGTTTATCTTTGGGAGCTGAGTGTTGCAAGTCTTTGTGCATCATATCTTTGCACTAGGGATGTCACAGTTGCAGATTTTTAAACTTCAATACGATCTATTAAAATGTTAAACAATATCAATGTCTGTTTGAGACCATAACAACAAAAATAGAAGTCCTGGGCACCCCTGGTTGGGTAATTTCTTGTTAATTGTTAATTATCAAAAATGCAGGCAAACTCCTTCTCTCTCTCTCTCTCTCTCTCTCTCTCTCTCTCTCTCTCTCTCTCTCTCTCTCTCTTTTTTTTTCTTTCTCTCTCTCTCTCTGCAGCTTTTGGTTCAAAATAAGTCCGATGATCAAGTCTTTTTTGAAACTTTAGAACTTTTCAATACTATCAATCATTCAAATCACAGAGATCCTATCTTTTCTAAAACACATGGTATGGAAAAGTATCAAAGTATGGAATATATTGACGGCCTGACTTTGCACTTATTTTGTCTTCTTTTCTTTCTTGTTCTTCTTTCAGCATCTTGTTCTCCCCTCTCTCTCTCTCTCTCTCTCTCTCTCTGTGTTTCTGTTAGTTTCAGTCATCACCTCACAGACAAACAGAAATCTGGTGAGTTGAAGAAACGAGCCAGTCGGCACATTTACAGAAACATTGATTAGTGTGTGTCGTCTCAGTAAATGAAATGGAGCTTTACGAGTGTATAAAGCTTTGACAGACAGATCTCTCTGCTGCTGTCACATCCTGTAGTAATGGACTCTGATGGATTGTGTTTCAGGGTCCGTCCGTCCGTCCGTCTGCTCTGCTCCAGATAATCAAAGCAGCACAGTAAGCTCCTTGAAAAATCTTGAAAGTATTTCTTAAGCTTTCTGTGTGTGCTGCCTGCTACAGCTTAGAGACAACAGTTTTGGACACATGGAGCAAAGACACACACACACACACAGAGCTTATCTCACTGCACATCTGTACTTTTTTTAAGCAGAAAACAGATGATGTCATCGTTTTGTCAGATGCTTTAAAAAAAAAAAATCTCAGACCACGTGGACATCACTGTGACAAAGAGAGAAACCTGAACAAATCATCAAAATACTTTAACTTTAACTTTAACTTTAACATGGAAAAATGACAGGAGCTACTGTCTGATGAAGATTCTGCAACAACTCTGTCATGAAAAAAAAAACTATTTGCGCTTCCCTTCTCATAGGACGTGAGACGACAATCGACGTCATCAAAAACTACATTCAACAACGCGACACACTGAACATAAAACAAGATTGGAAATTTAAGTCTTTACTGTCAATACGGTCATATGACAAACAATGAACACTCGGGAAGAACAAAAGGAAATGTCAACCCTTAATATTTACCAGAATAAATAATGCCTGTAAGAAGTTTAGAGACTCTGCATCTTACACACCAACTTCCTGGTCTTCTAACAACGCCATAGAAATACGTTGTGGTGTAATAAGAGCTGATGCAGAGAGGTGAAGTGTCTGTGAGTTTACTATTCATGTATCAGAAGTTCTCATGTTACACCTCTCTGATCAATACATGTCTCATGTCATCCACCCTTCCTGTTTCAGAGCACATGAGTTATTAATGTCTGTCAGGACCTAAAGCCAATTTCAACCAAAATCTGAAAAAGTGTATCTGGAGGAAATGACCAAGCTTGCCTTTAACACCACTGAAGTATCTAAAAGATGTTTCTGTTATCCCTGTGTGTTTTCATTTAACTTTAAAAAGTAACTCAACAGAGTGGCAACATCTAAACTTTTCTGGCCTCATTCTCTGAGGACTTCAAGAGAAGACGTGTGTGTCCAAAGTCACAATTCAAGTTCTTACAGAGGGAAATGTGTCACATTAAAACGCAAAGAAAAGCTCTAACACAGCCCTCTGATAACAAAGAAATAACCAATCGCAGGGGGCCGATCAGATTTGAAGGGGCACTGGATTCATAAAAGAGGAGGAGGCTACTGACTGTATCCACAAGTACTGCAGAGGTGCTGAAAGGTAAACGAGTCCGTCTGATTGGTTGTGTCTCCTGCTGTGTTTAACATTGCATTTATTATCTGTTCTTATTTTATTTATTTTTTTAAAACAGAAAAAGAAAACAGTTCATAGCCGACTCAGAACAATGACCTGTTCTCCCTGCCCGGGCTTTTCGACGCTCTCTTGTCACTTTCTGCTCATGATTTGAGGAGAATTTAAGAGACTGTCACTTCGACAGTCTTCATCAGGGCTGTTATTTCTACATAATCCTTGATGTAAGCTGATACCTAAACCCTGGACAAGTAAACACCAAACTACTTCACAGATAAACACTGCTACATGTATCGAGAGAAGAAGAATATATCTTTATTACTTTATAGACACTTCTGACAAATTCACTGTTTCATACTAACCTCCCCCCTCCCCCCCTAACCTTCCTCGAGTAAGCCTAATACTGTGCTAACACGTCACAACAAGTGGGAGGACATGCAGCAGTAATCCCTCCTCCCCCACCTCCTCCTTCCCCCCCTCCCTCTCTCCTGTCTCTTCACCCTGCAGGTGAAGGAGGATTACGGTCCTGATGGCTCTCTATTGGCCTCTGATGTTTCCACCAGGATGTGCATGAGGCCGCTTACACATGGCGGCAGGAGGAAGCCTGAGTTCATTCAGCATCCCCTCTAGGAATCTTTTAGTGAATAGTACTACCTCTGTAGTTACAGAAATGTATAAATATGTAGATAAGTACAATTATTTTATCATGTTTTAAGGTTTTGTTTTTTTTAACTTTGTTCTATTACTTTTGCACAACTAAAGAGCTTTGAAATGTTGTATTTAACTTGAGTTTGCTCATTCTCTGCATACTTAATGATACTGACTTGTAATTTCATTAAATTAAAGCTCATCAAGCTGAATTCATTCTGTGATATTTGATGGACAAGTTGAGATGACTATTGATGTGTGTACAGCATCAGATCTCTCAGTATATGGAAACTCCTTTTGAATAATAGTTAGATGAGATAAAAAAAAGAAAATTCACAATTTGATGTCCCTGAGATTTAAAATGTGTGACCATGATTTGTTTTAACTTTATGCTCTTTAGTCAGAGTCCACCTGAGGATTCTTTGCTCTTTTTGGTCTACTTTGAGAATCAGAACGAAAACCTCAGAAAAAAGCTTTAGATTTGTTTCGTTTTACATCCTGGTTTGGATCAAGTTGTAAAAACATCCACAGCATCTCCTCCTTTGTCCCTCCCTACATGGATAATACCCTTGTTGTTTTTGGTGTAATTTGGATCTTGGGTGTCTTCGCCCCCCAGGTCAGATCATCCTGTGTACATCAAACCTGTCCTGGAGCCATGAACACTCGTCTGTTATAAACCACAGGATCATTTTCTGAAATGTCCCTTTACCAGATTAGATATCTTTACTGTCACTGTAAAAGTACGATGAAATATTTCTACCAGCGTGTGAGTGAGGTGCGTGTGCAGCTGGTTGTTTGTTACCTTTGCAGCCACGGAGGAGCTCGGCTTCTCCAGCAGGTCCCAGAGTTTCTGTCTCTGCTCGGGACAGCAGCCGTGTTCCTCCTCCTCGCCGTCCTTCTCCCTGAGCGTCTCCGCCTCCCTCCTCAGCTCCTCGTTCATCTGCTCCTTCTTCTGGTGGTACCTGGCCTGGCAACACGACTCCAGGTAGATCTCGTCGATCCCCCAGTAGTCCAGCTCCTGTCCGAACGACAGGGCGCACATCTCCTCCATCATGTGCAGCTTCCCCGTCCTGTAGAAGTTGAGGATGGAGGAGAAGGCCACGGGGTGTCTGTCGAAGAAGTACTCGTTCTCGTTGAGGCTGTAGTCGTCGCAGATCTCCAGCAGAGACTCGTGGGTGTTGCAGTCCCGTAAACGTCCCAGACGGGTTCTGGGCAGCCGGTCCAGTGTCCTCCACAGGACTTCATGTGTGAGACCCCCAACGTTGAGCCTGACCCGCCGGGAGCGGGCCTTGATGCGGATGATGTCTATGGGCTCAGGGGGAACCAGGGGGGCCACGGGCGGCCGGGGGTTGTTGCTGTAGCCCGCTCTGTCCGTCATGTTTGCTCTCTCACTGTGGACAACTTGAACACTAAGGTTAAAGGTGAGTGTGTGGGTGTGTGGGTATCAGGAGCTTGTGGGGCTCAATGAGATGATGGCCGGAGGGGGGGAGGGGAAGGGGGTCACCCTGACCCACCAAGCTCACCTGCTTGTGATCAGACCTCTTAACTCCAGGTCAAATCCATGGCTGGAAAGAAAAAAAAAGATATATTACATTAAGTCGATCAAATGACACAATCCTCCTTGATCACCTCTTGAGCCTCTTCAGAGCACAAGATGTGCTACTATGAGCATCAGAGACGACGCTCATAGTAGGGTCATTGGCAGCAGGATTAATCCTCTGACCTGCACTCCCTGAGTATATGGCAAATCAATCATGTTGTTCAAACCAATTTGAGATCCCAGGAATCTGTGGTTCTATGTTTCATGCAAGAAAAGACAAAATGCAGGAATCTGGGAACGCTATCACCACATTAAACTATCAGTCGCCCTATGATACATGATTTTGACAGGAAGCTCCTCTACAAGACATATAAAAAAATTCAAACAGATCCACCTTCAAGAAAAGATCACTGTGCCTCAATCCCCATCTGTTCTTAGGAGCCAGCTGTGCAGTTTTTAAGAAGATTCTTAAATTCAAGTTTTCTAATCTATCATTTGTTCTGTAAAAAATCACTTAAGAGCAATCTTACACACATTTCAGTGCTGATATTCAAAAGCAACATTATTACTTAATGTGTTTTTCCATTATGCAAATTTATATCATTAACTAACATTTAGAAACATGAATAATATCTAGAGCTCTAAACTGCTAAAATGTTGAATTTTTGACATAATTCTGCACTAAACTTCAACATTTACGTAACAAATGAATGCTGAAGAGAGAACACTTATTTCCCACCTTTACACACAACAGGTATTTACATGAGAAATATGTCACGTGTCTCATTGTTTTACAGCGTCAGCTATTTTTGAATAATGTAGGCTTATCTTCTGATATTATGAAATGAATAATTATGAAATATGTGTCTCTCTTCTGTTTCTGGCTATTTCCCCCCTCAGATTTAATATAACTGTTTAATTTCCCTTCATCTTTTCTGAAGACAGTTTTCTCTGAACAAAGTGCAAGATCCAGCGTGTGTGAGTAGTTTCTATTTTCTACTCACAACTTCTAGTTTTAATTGATTAAATCATCCAGTCTGTGTTTCTCTTCCTCCGTTTGAGAACTGTTCTTACAGTGTGTCTTACATTTGGAGTCCTGTTCGAAGATTTTAATTTGGGCATCCCTGGCATCTCTCTCGACATCTCCTTTTAATCCTGCGTGACCTCTGCGTGCTCTCCTCACGGCCCTGCAGTCTCATGCCCTTATATGGGCATTAAAAGGGCGTTCTTCTATGCTAATTAAGGTAAACGGGCATGAGCTTATAGCTTACAATGACATGGCATTCATCAGTGTAAGAGCACAGGTGTGAATAATTCTGTAGGTTAAGAAAAGCTTCATGAACCTGACTCAGACTTTTCTTAGTCTTCTTAAGAGCAACTTTCAGAAAGCACTTAGATAATGGCGAATGAGGCCCAGTGACCACAGAGGAATACATGTCAAAGATAGATAAACTTCCTCTATCTTTAAATTTCGACTCTTAAAGTAAAGTCACCATGTACACTTTGATCATGAGGTCAAAATAATTCACCTGCGTATACCTTGTCTTGCCACAGAGGCCGCCAGAGAGAACAGCACTCTTCCAGCCTGATCATTTAAAGGCCTGAACTCAGCATCGTGTTTAAGTTCTGCTTTTTCATATTATTACATTGAATTAGTTCAGCCACACGCAGTGACACTGCAGCTTTCAGGTAGACTTGAGGTCTTGGCTGACAAGTTTCATCCTGCCGGAATCCAAATCTCTGGACAGGTCACATGGTCCACTAACTGACTAAAATATAATATTGATGTATGCTAAGAGCGTAGAGTGTGCATGTACAGAGAGGAGACCTGCTGCTGAGGCTTTAAAGGCCCCTTAAACTCTTATTATTCAGGTGTTTGTCTGCATATCCCATAAGGTGCGTCAGCATTGAAATACATTGGACTTTTTTGCTTGAATGTGAAACAAAAATGAGACTTCTTTGTGTTGTCAAAAACTCAATCCATCTGACATCAGTCCACTGTTTGTTTTTTGTCAATTTTGGATTCGCTGTTAAAAAAGATTCGCTGCATCTTACAAGCTGCCAGCTGGTAAAATGATGTTCAAAACATAGCACCAAACTAAAAGGCAAATCTGAATATTTACACCAGAAGGAAAAGTCCCCATCCACACTGTGCATCAAATGATCAAACTGTGGAACCATTATGTTATCTCCCAGCTCTAAAAAAAAAAACCCCAAAAAACCCTTGAGACTCATTAAAGCCTGGAAACTTTTTAATTAGAACGAGTTCCTCTCATTAAATCAGTGAATTATCAAAAGTGAGCATCTTTCAAAAATAGTTTTCTTATGTAATGAAAACTAATTTTAATCCATGGCTTGGGGAATGAATGGAAACTTGCTCCTGTTGGACTATAAAGGCTTATGTTTCCATTAGAAGGGCTCTGACAGAGGGACCTTTATCTGATTGTGTAATGGAGTTCCACAAATCCCAGGAGTGGCATTAGGCTTCGTCTCCCCTGGCTCTCAGTCTGCCTTAGTTAATTATAGCCTGTCTATCTTCTCCCGGGACACTCATAGGACACATGTCTATGTCAGGAATCAAGCTGATCCCACATCACTATTTTTAAAAAAGAAATTAAGCTTATTCAGACCTTCAACTTTGAAATAAAATACATTCATGTACTCACTGCATCGTTTTTTTCCTTGTTCATTAATCACCCACTGATCACCTGAAATAATATGATTATGAACTCTTTAAAAAAATCATGAAATGTGCAATATTAGAAGCTGACTGTTCTTGTTTTTGCGTCAAACCAGCCTAAATGAGCTGCATATTCCGGGTTGAATCCTGGACAAACATCTCAGATTCAGAGTCCAAAGTGAGTGCGACCAATTAGTTGTCAAGAGATTAGACGACTCAGGCTTAACTCGTGATTACACTCCTGAGTCCATATCAAGTTTAAAAAAGTACAAAGTAGCTAAGAAAGTATTTCATGACCAAGCTCTGATCTATTCTCTTTAATGAACGTCATTTGTTGTCGCTACTGCTTTGTTGGATTAAAAAAAACAAAAACAAATGTGAAGTGTAAGAATGTCCGTGTGACTCACCCTGCGTGCGAAGTGCTTTTTCAGAAAAGCAGAACCCTGTCCCGTCCTGGAGGATCCACCATAGCACCCGGCTAGTTCGTTATCTCAGCTGCTTCGCCTCCCCTCCGGCCGCAGATTCACGAAGCCTCCCGAGAGCATGCAGGCAAATATACATCCACATTTTTTCCGGAAAGAAAAAAATAAATCAGTGCAGGAGAGGAAATGACCCGGGAGGTGTTGCAGCGCTCGGCGCCATAAGGAAACACACAGAAAGACAGAAAACCAGAGAGAGAGAGAGAGAGAGAAAGAGAGAGTGAACCGGCTGGCCCGGAAAGCTAACGGCCCCGAGGAAGAGAGTATAACGGGATGACAGAGAGAGAGAGAGAGAGAGGGGGGGGGGGGATAGCTAATTGGATTGAGGCGTTCAGCACCAAGGACAGCTCCAGATCAGCAGTCTGTTTCCACCTGAACTCCCACTCACCGCGCCGCGCTGCCAAAGCTCCTCACATTTTTAACTTTCTTTACTTCTTTAGTGTTTATATCAAACTTCAGGGAGCAAAGTGACTGACTTTTATCTGTCTTATATAACATTCATTCAGCAGACGCTTTGGTGCAGCGACTTACAATACATTAAATAATTTAACATCGAAACAAGACCTGGAATGATTTCAGCATTTCTTTATAAGACACATCAATAATCCCCGAATTCAAATGCATTTCGATGTTTATTATAACTCGTAAAATCAGCCTCTGTCTGTTTTCAACTACATCAGGACAAGTATCGCATATAGAGGGGTATTATTATTATTATTATAAGAGTAGGCTGTAATGGGGTTGTCAGGACCGTCCGGCCTGCTTCTTTCAAAGTGATGTCTTCTGCTGTTTGCCAACTGGGAGAATGCAGGTATGCAGCACTTCCGCATTGACTTCACATCTCAGGAGAAGAGCTGCATTCGGGCAGAGTACAGACCCACTTCCCCTCCTTGCACTCTGAATCCCAAATGAATCTAACAAGTGTCATTCCGTAAGGGGGCGTGTCATGTAGTGGGCGTGTCCTGCGGTCCTGTGCACCGGTTTGTATCCACAGAAACACCTGCTGGGTCTTTAGACCCGAGGTTACATCCACTCTTTAAATGAAGTCTGTTTCTTTGGGTAGCGTTCGAATTGTCCCTCCTATCTCCTTTCACTATCCACTTTACCTTAACCCCGGAAGAATTTAAGTGATAAGAGCCGTTTGAATTCTCTAAAAGTTAAGGAAAGGTGGGTCAATGCTTCCTTTATAACCTCCTTTAGCATAGGATACACTGGACCATCCTTTACGAAAGGAGATGAGATATGCCGCCCCACAATTCCTTGCGGCCGCAACATTTAAAGCGACTCGCGCATCCGACCGTTCACGAACATTAACGATGATCGTAAAGTGACACAGATCATGTGAGGGATAAAAAGATAAGAGACATTTTTATCAGATCATGTTTTATTAAAGATATTTCATTCACTTAAGAATGCTTTGTGCAGTTGTACATTTGTATAAAACATTATGTGTCGGTTATATCTTACATAAATGTAACAATTAATATCATACAATCATATTTACTTTGATGTTGATTTCTGAGTGGACAGGAATGTGAAGGTTTCACTTGTAGCCTGGTAGTCTATATTGCTTTTATTTCAATCCCAACCTCGTGGTAATTAAGGATTATTTCATCGGTAAGAAGGCACAGAAAGAGTTTTTTAGATGCGTTTTTTGTAGTCCATTTTCTGAACATTGT